TTTTATTTAAAAATTTAAGAAAAAAGTGCGCCAAACTGTTCTATATGTGCAGTAATGCTAACCAATATAAGATCATTTCAAAATCAACAACATACTGAATATTGATGTTGTTATATGTATTATACTCCTAATTGATCTTTGTTATAAGTTATTTCTATAAAAATATCGAAATACCTCTCTATTGAAAACAATAGTTTATATTATTATATATCTTTTGACAAAAGGGACGTTAAACATCACTGTGATGTTTAAAAGATAAAAAAGATAAAATTTAGGAAAATATGTCCGACACTTGGCATTAGCCATGCTCAAGTGGGAGTGGTGGCCTTGTACACAAAGCCCACTACAGCTCATATAATAGCCCGTGTGAAATGGTAAAAGCAATAGTTGTATAAGTAAAATATGTACTTCAAGTGAACCAATATTGATTAAAGGTAAATTTGATATTAGTTTATATATATTTAAAAAATTCTCTTTAAATAATTTTATTGTCTGACAGAATAATTCTACTATTACAGAAACATGTTTAGACCAGTGATGGCGTGTCTATCCGAGGATTAGGCTGCACTGTAAAAATTAGAGTAGAAATTTTATTTGTCAGCAATGACAGTGGAATGATAATGTTAAACAACATATTAAATGATTTCATTAGTACTAGTAGAAGATTGCTTTAAACGACATAAAGTTTTAAAAACCCTGTTTTCACTAGTAACATATATCCATATAAAGAAACGATCCGTGAATCATATGGTAGTGCAAGTGTTGATTACTAAAGATATAGAGAAAGTTCTAGTTAAACCATGAAAAACCAAAAACTATTATTAACTGCGACAAGCGATGCAGATGTATTAAAGAAAAGACAACCTATGACATTGTAAACTGGAGATACCCCACAAGGAGAACGGACTGTATATATTATAGGACAAGAAAAAATACAAAAAAGAGTACAAATTCGAAATATATGTATAGGCATTCATTATAAAACCTAACAGCTTATTATTTAATTTATTCCTTTTCTTATTATATTGAAATTTAATTTAAAAATAATAAGACAGAAACTAAATTTAGTGGGTTCAGTTAATCGATAAGATATTTTATTAGTTAAAATTGATTACTTGATTTTAACATTTTTGGTAAAAAAAATTATAGTTATATTTATAAATTATAGTTATAAGTATAAATTATAGTTATAATTATAAATTATATTTTCATACAAAGTGAACAAAGGAGTCAGCATGACAAAATATTTTCAATCTTTTCTATATATATGACACAGGATATACTCACGATTTATTTATCGATCGATTTTGTTTAATCGGTATTATATAAGCTTTTAAACAAAGCTTCTCATTTAGAATAGAATAGAAATAAACAGAGTACCAGCTCCCAACGGAGCGGAGCACTGCGGCTATGGTTGATCTCTTGTGCTTAGGCTCTCATCTAATATAATAATTTTTTCTACAGAGTTTTTAATAACTCTGTAATATCATATCAAATTTTTTTCTCAGTTTATAATGTAAAAAGTTTGTTTATCAATTAAGAGCATAATGCATTTCGATTATTATTTTTAAATTTCCTTAAAAATATGCTTATTAAGATTAATTACAAATTTATTTATAAATTATGATCGAATATTGGTTTATATATATATTTTATAATATTTAAAAATTTTAATTGAAGTTAAATAGTTCGTCTACATATGGAACGAAGTTTTAACTCATCAAACCAACTATTTACGAAAAATAGATGTAAAGATACGCTTATAGATAGAAACATCTCTGTTATATACTAAAACAATTGTTTATATATACAATTCAATTATATTGCAATTATAATTTAGTGTCGAATATTATTTTTGCTAATTATTTGCTGTTTAGTTTTTCTGTTCTGCATTTTAGGAACTCATTGATCAATCATAAAATAATCATTGAGTTTGTAATTTCAATGCTTTTTTGATTCAATTTCATAGTAAATTTTTTGTTTGGTTTTCGTTTTCTCTTAAGAATTTTGTGTGAACGTACCTTAAAATATTTTCCAGCAAAAAGCTGTACACCCATTATGGCAAAAATAAGCCAAAATATCAGACACACCAATAGCACATTAAAGATGGACGGTATAGCTTGAACCAGCGCATTTACGACGACCTGTGTAGCGCCGATTAGTTTTGATGTTTTGGTGATGGTGGATTGAGATGGCGGATTATTCAGGTGGTTGTGGGTGTTTGGTTTAATTTTGTGATGACGAATAATTTTGGCGATGATTTTCGTAATGGTGATTTAGTTTTATTTTTTTTTTGGTTTTTGAATATTTGTGTTAGTTTGGTTGGATTTGTTTATATTCAAGTAAAGGGAATATAAAAAATATAATACAATTAAATTTTGTTATATTTGTTTTATAATTAATTTACAATTACACAATACTTGAGTTATATACAATATATAGATATAATGACATGCTTGGTGTAGTGAAAGTTATTACTACTTAATCAAAATATTTGAAAAAAATGCAGTGAATGTGAGAATAAAAGCCATATTAATTCTAACTTGATATTTAAAACACATCTAAATTTAATATTTAATTATAGAACGTAAGATAAACACATGCAACTATATATAAAAGTGCAAACTCTATTTACAATAGAATAATGAAACGAAAATTATTATATTTTTAAAACAAAAACACTTCTAAAATTTAAAATTGTTGGTAGTAACAATAAACACATATACATAATTTATTTAATTGTTTTTTAAATAACAGAAAATAAAAAGAAAAATAAATATAAAGTTATATATATATTACGTATTGATTAAAAAATTTCATTTTTAAATAAAAAAATTTCAATAATTATTTATTTTTAATTTTTTCTTAAATAATATAAAAACCGTATATATAACATATTTGATTTATTTTTAAACAAATTTATATGTAAATGGTTTCAATTATCTCGGGACAAAATACATGAATGTTCTGTTAGACAAACTAAAATTTTAATATATTTCATAGCTCAAAAATTAAATTATAAATACACAAAAAAAAAACTTATTACTTAAAAAAAGTTTTCTAAAAAAAAATATGTATTTCTCTCATAAAATGTTTTAATAAATGTTGGTTACAATTATTCATGTATCGAAAGTTAAATATTTTTGAAAATTTTAGAATAAGAGATAAGCAGCGTATTAAGTAATCTTTTAATTTTAAAAAAATAATTAAGAAAATTAATAATAAAATAAAAAAGCTAATAAAAAATTTTAATTTAAGAAAAATATATACACAAATTTCTTTAACACCTAGGAAGGGCCCTATGCTCTATTAAAACAATTTAAAATTTCTATTTAAATAAAAATTATATATGTTGGGTTAAGATAATTCTTAAATGAAAAATAAAATTTAATCTAATTTATATTTTTTTATATACTGTTTAAAATAACAATTAAAAATTATATTTATAATAAAAAGTACATTTTCATAATTAATAAAAATAAATATATAAAAATACAAATTTTCGATATTTTATATAAGATTTATGCGTCAATATTTCTAATTAAAAAAATGTTGAAATATTAACCATATAAATCTGAAATCGTTAATTTTACTAAATTTTTTGATTTAGAAATGTTAACACTATAAACCTCATAAAAGATAAAGAAAAATTAAATATATATAATTTAATTTTTGTTTGTTTTTTAATTGATCGTATATTAAAAGAATTTCATAAAGTCATATTTAGTTGAAAAAATAATTTTTATAAATAAAAAATTTACAATATGTCAAAAATAATAGTTCATAAAATTATAAAAAAGGCTTTTTTTTGTGTCTTTTTCATATTTATTTTGTTAGTATTTATATTTGTTAAAATATTTTTAAAAATTTTACAAATTATGTATTTAATTTAATTTAATTTTAATTTAATTTTTAATTTAATTTAATTTTAATTTAATTTTTTTTCAGACGATTAGAATTTTTTTTGAGAAATTAATAGACTTAAGTCATGTAGAAATTTGTTTTTTTTTTCAGAACATATATATTATATATACTTTGTTTAAAAACAAATATTGTTAAAAAAGATTTCTCTCAAAATAATTGAGTAAGAAATATTTTTTTGAAATGAAATTTACAGAAATAAATAAAATGTCTCTTTTCAAATTTAAAAATTATGGTAATTAAAAAATTTTCTTTAGTGTAAAAAATATATATATAATTTAAAAATAATTAGAAAATACATACAAACAATATTATAAATTAAAAAATTATATTTAATATAAAATATTTATACGTAATTCAAAAATACATACATACAATATTATAAATTAAAAAATTATATTTAATATGAAATATATATAATTAATTAAAAAATACATACATACAATATTATAAATTAAAAAATTATATTTAATATAAAATATATATAAATTATTAAAATATACACACTTTATAAATTAAAAGGTTATATATAAAATAAAAAGTATATAAATAATTAAAAAAATATAGATACATATAATTTTATAAATGTGAAATATTTATAAATTATAAAATAATTAAAAAATACATACTAACAATATTATAAAACAAACATTAATAATTAAAAAAAATATATATATAAATAATTAAAAAAATTTAAAGTGTATATATTTCTAAGTATTATGATTATATTATTATAAATTGAATTATAACTTTTTTTGCAAGCTAATTATGAGATTTTTAATATTAAAAAATAAGCATATATTGATAAAATTCTACAATGCATTAAATACTAAAACTGTAAGAAACGATTTATTAATTAAAATACTTTCCAAAATAATATAATATAATATAATTTTGTCGTATAATTTTGTTGTTACAGTTCTGATATTTTGGTACGTTTTTAGTTAATTATGATTTTGGTGTCACTTTGGTTTTTTTTTTTTAAATGAGAATAAGTTTAATAAGTTTATTGCATCGCGTGAGAAGTTGTTTGTGTTCGACTGAATTAATTTCGTGATAAGATGAGGGAAGAAATTCGAAAAATTTGTATGGTATCTACTGAAAGTTATTTTGGTATTTGTGTTATTTAAAAAAAGTATGCTCATAGCAGTGTATAAAATTATTTAAAATTGGTAAATTCTAAAAACAATGCAAAGTTGCAAATTCGATACGAGAAAACGGTTAATTAAATAAATTAGTACTTAACTAGCTACATTCTAAGTGGTTTCAAAATGCACTAAATTTTAATAATACTATATATAAAAATGGTAATGAATTTGTTGAATATGCTAAAAAGTAAATTGTTGTTTAAATGGTAATTAATTAAATGAAAAGTTCATATACGAATTTGCGTCAATCCATTAACCAATTAACCAATCAACAAAAATTATATCAAATTCGAATTATTAAACTATTTTTAATTTAGAAAAACAAAGATCAAACAATTTAAACGATTTTTAATTTTTAATAATAATTTCAATAATAATTTACGATGCAATTCAACATTTTGTTTTATATATATAAAAATGAATTACGATATACGATATACGATATACGATACTATATATTGTATAAATTGTTAAAGTTCAACAGCGGTTTGGTGTTGATGATTATGAAAGTACGTACCCTCATGCCCTGCATACGGGACATGGCACGTAGTGGTCTCAGTGCTCTTAACGTTCGCATAGTCTTGAAGGCTTGAATACCACCAGCTCCAACAAGTGAAGCAACGAAGTTGATAAGCGACACCTAGTTTCAGTTTTTTGGAAATTTCATTATAAATTTTAATGTTCATGTTGTTTTTTTTTTGTTGGAAATATTTTTTCTTTTGTTTAATTTATTTTTTTTTTGTAATTAATTTTGGGTTTCTTTGTAATTATTCATAGTAGATGTAACTCTTGTTTTATTTTTTATAACATGGATTTGTTAAGGAAAGTGTTGATTTTTCATTAAAAGTTATGTGCGTTTAAGTCCTTAAAATCGTCAAAAACCATTATACAGTATTTTAATATTTAAAACAGAATAATAAAAATTAAATAAATTTTTAGTTGAAAAAATTAAATAATTTATATAAATATAAGAAATTGAATGTGTTATATATTTTCTTAACAGTAATTAATTCTTGAAATTGTGTTATAATTTTTAAATAATATTTTTTATTTTTTACCAATAAAGTGTATTAAAATAATATTTTTAAATAAATTTTTAAATGAATGTCTTTTGTATTTTTAATTTATAGATTAATAATATCTTAAACTTATAACTAAAAAACTTAAGATTTCCTTTTTATGCAAATAATTTTTTTTAAATTTATTAAATTTTTATAATATATTTTATTTTATAATTTGCCTTAAATTTTGAATTAATTTATTCGTTATTATATATTATTTTGGTATATATTCATTAAATCCTAATTGAATTTAATAGTGGTAAGCAAAACATTAACAATGATTTTTAGTTTTTAAATTTATTTAATTATTTAAAAAAATGTGTGTATATTGTATCTTAGTTTTTCTATCATAAAATTTTTCTACTAAATTAAAAAAAAATTTAATTTGCAATAAAATACATAAAACACAATTTTAAAATAGTGTTAATATTTTATACACTAAAGTTTATATTCAGATTTTTTCATTTTCTTAATTTCAGTATGCAGTAAGTGACAAGTTATTAATATATTTCTATGTAAAATTATATAATTTTAATTATTATTGTTACTTATTTTAATTATACATAGTGTTATAAAGTATGCTAAGCCAACGAAAACATGAAAAATTTAAGTCTACCTTGGCAGTGAATTTTTTAATTGCCGTCAAATAGATCAAAGGCAAAATATATACCTAATTTGTAAATTAACCCGAAAGGTTCTAATGTAAGTAAATTTTTCTTACAAGAAGTTTGCCATTCAATTACTTGGATTACAGAATTTTTTTTTTGTAATATAAGTAAGTTATTCAACTTAATTACTTACTAAATAGACACTAAATTCATATTAAATATAAAAATTAATTCGTATGTTGGAAAGTATGAAAGAAGCCCTTATATGTTATGGTCTAAGGGCAGGAAATATACAACAGATTCCATCACAGTGAAGCAATAGTTTAAGAATTTTTTAAATGTACTTATGAAAACCTTTGATTGATTAAATTGTTAAATATATGTTTTTAATAAAAAATATCTTACATGTGATTGTTAATTCTCGGTACAAAAATTTGCAGGATACTAAAATTTAATCATTTCGAAAAATTTTATATTAATGTCACTTTAGAGAAATTTGAAATTGTACATTTGTTCACTGTAAAGTGCATATAAACGTAACTTATAAAACTAATCTATTGATTTTATATAAGGGTAATGACTGCAGTCAGTATATAATGTCTATTATAAGAAACAAAGAGCTGTTATTAAAAAAGTTATTATCAAGTCATTAAACTTCATATGTGGATTGAATTGGAACAGTTACTGGAAAAAAGTTGTTGTCAAGGAACTAACATAGTATTGAAAGTTTTTCATTAACTATCAATATTTTCTTTACAATATATTAAATATCAAAAATAATAATTTACGAAGTAAAAAGGTATCAGTCATATATAATATATTTGAGGGAAGATAATCACCCAGGAAATTGAAATCACGCATGTAAAATTATAAAATAATATATGAAATAAAATTTAGTATATAATTATAAATTAATTTTATTATCATACTGAGTAAACGATTTTTAAAGATATATTTAAATATTACTACAAATATTCAATGTTTGCTGACCACTATTAATTATACTTAAATACTTTATAATTTAAAAAAATAAAGCTCATATTGGTAAAATATAATATTCTATATATCCTGAAAATCTGATAACTGTTATAATTCTAAGAAAACACTTATAGATACGGACTCCACAATGGTCAAATACATGATTGTGGAATAACGATTGATATGACAAAAACACACATATATGTACTCTTACAGGAGTAGGATAGCTATATACAAATTTATAACTAATTATGTTTGCTTTTTTTTTTTGTCGAAATTTCTTCTTTCTGAATTGAAATGAAATGATTGTAGTGTTTGTTTGGGTTTGGGACTATAATACATTCGCATTTGTCGATTGTGGAGTAGCTAGTCTAACTAGGCTGGCTTGTCTTTATCTTGACAAATTTTTGCTCAAACTTTGCTGCCGAACTCAATGGAGAAGTAGTCAAAACTGCTGTTGCTTGCATTATGAAAAATGCGTTTGCGGTTTCTTAGGTCGGTAGCATTGGGATGCCTTATTAGCAAAGAAATTAATGCCCAAGACCAAGCGATTATGAGAGTGTACCAACGTAGCTTTTATTTAGTATTAATTTAGAATAAAAAGTTTGCTTTTAAGTAAAACACTGCCACCACTGCGCAGGCAAGTTGATTGTATAATTTTTACAATTCTTTGATATACATTTTTTGAGGAAATTTATAACTTGAGACAGTGGAGCATATTACAAAAACACTGAACAGAATTTTTTATAAACAAATAGAGTTAAATACAGTGGATTTTAGTTTACTTAAAAGATTCCTTTTAAATATTTAGCTATTTAATTTTATATATATATATTAGGTATTTAGTTCTTGGTTTTTAGAAATGGTGCTAAGAAAATTTTTATAAAGTAACCACTACAAACACTACAAACTTATTTGTATATATTAGACTAGTTTTAAATTATTTTTACACAAGTATTTTGGTATTTCAATTCTATTTATTACTAAATTTAAGCTTCACTTTTAAACTAATTTTATTGTTATTGAAACTATATTGTCATTCAAACTAAATTTTATACTTGAAACTATTTAATTACAGAGATTTATAATTAGTATATTATTTAAGGATTTTTGTTAGGTGTGTGTTGGAGAATTATGTGTGTTGTATTTACTACATTGTATATTACTAACTAATTACTAAATTACTGTATGAGAGAACGCAATATGAGCTTTAAACATGTTATGAGAACTATTCTATTTAAACACTAATTATAATCATGTTTATACTAAATAAATCTATATACTATTATATGCTATTTTAATTTATAATAAAATAATACTAGTCATCTATAACTATTTATTTAAATATACTAAGATAAGTTTAAGATGCATATTCTAGTGTGTTGGCAATCTTAACAGTACAATGTTAAACTTAACATACATTAAACTACTCTATTTAAAACTTATGTTATAGTTCGTTATTAAGAACATTAATTAATTTTTGCTACACTGTTTAATAGTTTAAATTTTTTTTTCGCATATTAAATATATTTTAAAAATATTGACGTTTTATAAATACAAAAAAATTAAAAAAAAATTGATGAACGCAGAGCATTAAAGAACTAAAGACTAAAACTTTATTACAGACAGTATTTAAATAATTGATTTTAATATTAATTGCCTTAATTGCATTATTTTCATAAACATTATAATTAAAATTTAGTTTAAATTTAAGCAATTAGACGAAATTATATTTAACAGTTAGACAAATGTTGTGACAATAGTTGAAAATATGTACTGAACATATAAAAACTTATAACTATGTACATGTATAAACTTTATAATTTATTTTATTTTTTATTAGTTATATATTACATTATGTTTCTTATTATTGATTTAATGTTAATATGCAATCCTAAACTTACAAAAAAATTTTAGTTTTAAAAAATATCTGTTAAATGCAAATTTTTAAATATGTAATAGATAAATAGAAGCTAGTAATAAAGAAATAAAACTTTCTGCAGTATTATTTTATCTAATCTCAACAAAAAAAAAAATTTCAAAATTGTCACAACACTAAAACTTTAAATTTAATTAACTAAAATATTAATTATTTATTTTTAAATGATAAAATTATAATTAATTCATTAAAAATTTTTTGCAAAGAAACTTGCAAAAATTTAAAAATTATATAGAAACCATAATTAAATAATTGTATAGTTTAAATAAGAAAATTAGTTCCTTAACATTTTAATATAGTACTGAACAACATTTAGAGAGTAGATAAAATCTTATATGCTATAAACATAAAATAGTATATGTTATTTATGTTCATTTTAAAGGCTAACATATAATGTGAGGTTTTTCAAACGGGTCAGAAGTTAACATTTAACATATTATTAATATTAATATATTTACGTTTATATTTATGAATAGTTAAAAGTTCATAAAAAGATAGAAAAAAAATCTTAATGACACATATTTAGAAAAACTAAAAGATAACAGCACATCAATATAGATAGATTTTTGCAGTTGGAGAGCAAAATAAAATATTAAAATTCACTGCTTAATTGTTAGATTAAAAAGTATAAATTAAATAGACTTCAGATCAGTATTGTACAGTATATAGTATATATATTTGAATATATTTATATACGAGAAAAACGAAACAATTTTATAGTTAATTAGAATTTATATAACATCGATAACTGTTGCAGCACAACACTTAATAGGCGGTTTACAATACATTGACGTATTTACGAATATGTATACAGAGATGGAGCAATGCTTTTGCATCGCTACTTACTTTCATACCCTCCCAACGTGAGACCGCACGTAGTGGTCTCAATGCTCTAAGAGTTCGCATGGAACGGAATGCTGGTACATCATCAGCGCCTGACCATACTGCGGCCAAATTAATAAGCGAAAGCTTCATATGCGTGATAAAAATATCGCATCAGATATCGTTCGATGATTTTTATCATATATATTATGTATAATTTTTGATTTTAAATTAAATAGATTTTATATGAAAAATATTAAAATGTGTAAATTAATAATATTTTATAATTTACTTATAATATAATATTAGCTACTAATATACGAATATATGCTACTATAATTTTAAATATTAATTTATATTTATAGTAAATTTTAGCGCAATTACTTATCTAATTAAAATAAAATACAAAATCATAAAATGAAGAATTTAAATATAAACTTATATAAACGTAATTACAATTAATTTTGAAGTATATTTTGTTTATAAAGAAAATAAATAATATATATTTAAATGAATAAAACTAAGCAGTTCATGTCAATTTTATTTAGTTTTGTACGTAGTGTGCTCAACATAAAGTAAGTCCAGTCAGTTATATAGTTAAGTTTCATTTTGTAGGTTTTCAAAAAAAAAATCTCGTAATAAATGTATTTTTTTTTTAATTTTTATATTTTTATTAAAACTTTTTAAAATGAATTATCTTAAATCAGCTGATACAAACATTGAGCAATTGCATTGTATTTTTTTGTTTGCTAAGCATTTGGTGATCGGATTGAACGTGTGTTGTTTGTGTTTTTATGCTATTTTGTTTTGACTGTACTTTGTCATTACTAATCACTTTTTCTGTGTTCTGCCGTTTACATTTTCTACGTTCTACGTCTTCGACACTTAATTCAGCCTAAAAGGTAGACTAAAATTTGTACCAAAATATGGGTCATTGGCTTGAAAATATTTTTGAAATAAAATCTTAATTAAGCTTAATGGGGAAATACTTTTTCGACTTGGGTATGATTAAATGTATAGTTTATATATTGTAATTTTAGATATGTAAGACCAATTAACATTTAAGTTAATATTTATTTAACTTATTGAGATATGATTGATTAATAAAATTTAGGATATGATATTATGAATACGATATGATATTAGAATACTTAATAATCAAAGTTTATACCAATCATCTGGTAAAATTAACTATTGTAGTCTATGCCTGACAATAAATAAATAACCAATCAGAAGTCAATGCCTGACTGATCATGTTATTAACAGATTATTCTCTTATAAGAAGAAAGAAGATTTAATCTTGTAATAAAATGAAATAAAATTTGAGTAAATGATATTCTTTAGCTAAGTCTTAATATTTGTCACTTTAAGGTGTTATGCAGCTGAAAGTTAATTATAATGAAATTAATCAGTGGGCTCATGTTATGGATTTTATGGAAGTGTAAGCGAAGCAAAGGCTTTTGACCACATCCAAATAATTTGAATTGATCAAAAATGGCATTAATATGTTGGTAGGAAAGCATAAATTATACCAGTTAAAATTTTAGAAATTATAAAAACTGAAATCTATATAATGAATAGAAAGAAATATGATATGTTTACACCTCACAAGTAAATGTTTTCAGATACACCATTATTGACATTGATGCAAAAGAATATTATGGATGAAAAGTGAGTTTATCAAATAATAAAATCCAATACATAATATTATCTTTGTTACATATATTTCATGATTTAGGCACAATTTGAACATTCATTATATGTTGAGAATTTCTATAACTATAAATACTTCACAGCCGAAAGAGATAAAATTTTAATCACTGCTAGTGTCTTTACCTAACGTTGTCTTATGGAAGCTGCGGATTAGATATGGAAAGGGTAAGAAGAAACTATCAGAGTCTTCTTTATTCTTATGTGACCCCTAAAAATGTATGACTACTATCACTTAGAATAAATATCAAGTATTGGCACAGTGACACTAACAGGGTGTGTCAACCAGTTAAACAAGGGTAGTTCAACAAGGGTTAATAATTTGATTAGGGTTACTTTAAGGTTTATATGGTGTCACAATTAAACTTATCTTACAACATGTTCACAGTCCCTATTAATGATCATTAACAAGGTTAAGGAATTTTGTTTTTTTTTTCCAAAAATATTGATTGCACAATGTATTCCTTATGTAACTATTGCAATTTTTAAATGCATTCTCAAATACAAAGAGATCTATTGTTGTTATTGTAACTTTTTATAGGATTGTTATTCTTATTGAATCGATTTTACGATGAGTGAACGGAACTTGGTCGTCTGAAAAAACATGTGGGTTTAAAACGTAGATCTGGTTTAGAGAGCTATTCTTGCAATAAGGTATGTTAATATATATTTTTTTAATATTAATAATAATATTTCAACATTTACAATTAAATGAGTTTTTTTTTATTTTTTTTTTTAAATCAATAAGATTATTTAGTTATTAAAGTTATTTTGAAATTATTTATTACGAGATTTTTTTGTTTTTTTATATATGTAATGTCACTTTTAGTATGTTTTGAGTAAAGTTTTTGTGTACATAGTTGTTTTTTTTTTGGATTAATTCGAATTTGAGTAATTTGTCTTTACTAATTAATTGGTAAACGTGTGTACTTACCATAACGATCACGAAATCAAGCCAACACCATGCATTTGTAAAGTAGATCTTAAAACCCAATGCTAACCATTTAATTAACATTTCTAAGAAAAATATAACTGTAAATATTCTGTCCATATAATAAAGTATATCTTGCAGTATAGGTCTGTGTGGTAGGTGGACATCTTCTAAGGCCTATATTGGAGAGAATAAGAGTAAAATATAATTAAATTAGAATATCTGTAAATTAGTTATATGAAATCTATAAACATTTTACGTATGCTACGCACGCACACTAAGCGCAGGATAAAAGGCAAAAATTGCTTAAAACGCAATCAAAGAAAAATTTTCAAAAAAATTGAAGACAAAACTCTTGAAAATATATATTTTCTATACTCAATATGCTAATCTACTGTATATATAACAAATGCTATTAAATAATTTATTATTTTTAGTTAATGCATGTAGTTAAGCATTTACATTGTTCTTTATACATATATTTCAACAGTCTCAGATTCTTTTTTCAATAAAGAATTCATTTGTGATTATTCTTTAATTGAAAATAGAATTCTTTGCATTTATTTGAACTCATTAGTTCTATTTTTTTAAGTAAACTAAAAAACTAAAAAACGAATAAACTCATAACTATCCTAAGAAGCTAAATCTAGATATCTTATATAAAGCAACTCTATGTATATGTATTTTTAAAAGACTATCCAAAATAAAAATGTAATAAGCAATAAACTTTGGTAAAGTTTTTATGGCAGCTAATCATAAAATCAAATTATAGGCAACAATGGCAATTTTTTGTTTAACAACAATATTAATTTATACATTTAGAACGATAACGATAACGATAACGACAAAGAACGATTAACTTTTGCAATTGTTAATTTTGCAATCAGTTTAGCTCAATTTTTGTACGGTTTCTAAGAAAAACTTACCAAAGCTAAGCTACTCATTAAAATCATAGTGATAACAGCTGTTTCAAAATATTTATTTTCAATTAATTGAAAAGTTTTCAGTCGTAAATTGCCCCATCCCTGCCAGAATGGCGAGTCTTCGTCGCCTGCTAAGATTGGGAATTTCTTGTAATATGAATCGGGAAAGCAGTCCGCTGGGTATTCGTCAATGACATCTTCTTCATGTGCATGTATAATGATATCACCATCGAGTGGGCCCTCTTCGCATTCGCCCTCCTCATCGAGCTCTTCATCAAGGCCAAGGTCCTCTTTGCTGGCATCACGTTTTTCTTCGCCCTCCATAGTTTCAGCGCTGCCTTTGTGGCTTTCGTCTTTAAATGGTCGATTCTTATGGCTACCATATGAGTTAATGCTGGCAGTGTCGTCGTCCTGTAAGGACAAACCTCTATGGTTTAGCTCGTGTTCCAGTCTATTGTCTTGGTGGTTAATTGAGTTGCCAATCATCTGTGTAAAATTAATTTCATTGTATTATTTGTCTATGCAACTGTGGTCGTATGTGTCTTGTTAAGTTTAATGTTGTGTATTTACGATATATGTAGGTATGTAGGTATAATATTACGTGATTAATACGTAGATTTTTGAAATGTACTTACCGTTGCGTTATTTAAATATTTTGATTTTTTTGATTTGTTATTCCTAAGATCACCGTGTATCGTAAACTCCATACCATCACCAATGGCTACTTCCAATTGATTCTGCTCTTTCATGCCTTTCTTTATCAGACCATCGGCAAGTATCTCATCATGTCCCAAATCAAGCTCGTTGTCTCCACGCTCTGCAGATATACAACGACAAACCCCCTTGCCTATCGTATCCGTTTCGTTTTATTTAATTTTTTTTTTTAATAATAAATTTTAACACAACATATTGACGCAATACGATGGATTGGTGTGTGGTTATAATTTTTAGATACGATAGTTTTTCAATTGAAACGAAACGGATTTAAGCGGATGTTTGACAGTTTGGCAATAAAATTATTGTTTGATGAGTTGCAAATGATCGTTGATCGGAAACCAATGTTTAATTAATTTGTTTTAATTTGTCGATTTAGATATTTTTGATTCGAATCGAAATTGCAATGACAAAGATTATATGAATTAATACGATAACAATTTCAATAAATAAATGATTACACAAAAACACGAATACAACAGCAAAATTTCAAACCGGAAACATTTAAATAATGAGTGGTGATTGGATAGTTCAATGAATGTGTATTAAACATGTTAAACATAATATATTAAATTAGAGTTTTTATATATTAGAATGAGGGATGAAGTTATATGTGTGCACGATTAGGATATTGGTGTATCAAACGTTTATATACATATGTACTATGGGAATTGTATACATAGAATATAGATATATACTTTTTTATATTTATGTTATTATTATTATGTAGGATGTTAGCAATCATTTGTAAGTAAACATGAAGTGCACCAATAATATTCTATGATATCAGATTTATATTAAAGATTTAATCAATTCATTTAATCCTGTGAACCACAAGCTAGAACGGCTAGCTGAAGTATTTAGTAGAAAAATAAAGATATTTGCATTTTGTTGATATTTATAAAGAACTCAAAATTTGCAAGCTATATAAATATATATGTGATATAATGTATTGAATTGAATTTGATCATAAACTACTGTTTACACCGAAGTACATTATATATTATTATTTATTATTATATATATATTATACTATATTGTGTTATTATTTTTGCTCATTTTGAATGAAAAATGATGTTCACACCAATACATTTCTTTCACTCAAAGATAAAACGAATTATACCATTCTACAGAATACCATTCTACAGAATTTTCTTTAATAATACATTAAAAAGTTTTTATAGTGATTAAGAGTTGCTATGAGCGTTTAATCATCAAAATTATAAACATATTAATCTTTTTAAATTAGACAAAAGTAAATAATACGTTCAGCTGTGTAGGCTGGGAACAGTTTCACTTAAAATGAAAAACTGTTCTCAATGAAGGGTTGCCAATACTTGAGAATTATATTTCATATTTTTTGATATATTTAAGTTGCTTGGATGAATTTAATAAATTTTAAGATACAACCACAAGCTAGAACGGCTAGCTGAAGTGAACAATCAACAAATTTATGAAAATTACGGTGGGCTTAGATTAAGATGTTTTGGACATGTAATAAGAATGTCGGATATGAGAGTACCGCTTAAGATTTATGAGAACGAAGTAGGAACCACCAGATGAAGTGGGCGACCAAGCAAACGATGGCAAGACAGTGTGCAGCAGGATTTAGTAGAAATGAACATAAAAAATTGGAAAAAAAAGCAAAAAAGGGTGTTGTAAAACAGACTTAGGTCCTACATGGACTCTATAGTCACGGATGGTGATGAATTAATTTATTTATGTGAATTTTTTTCTTATATTATTGACACACTTCATACTGAAAAATAAATGCATGAATAAACAAAATGAAATAACTAAAAATAAACTAAAATTTAAATAATTATAAGAGGAAGAAAAGATTTCTACATATATATACTAATATAAAACTAACAATTAGAAGGATCAAATCCACTGTTTTACTTTAAAATTATATAAAAATTTCAACAAATGACTTTTAATATTAAGAACTTAAAATTTTTAACTAACTTTAGTATATAATTTTTATGCTAATTTTTATTAAAGACTTATTGGAACAAATTTTTAATTTTAAGGTTTACAGTTAACGAATTTTGTTTAAATGTTAAACGCAAAGGATCTAAGTATATCATTAAAAACATAATTTTAAGGAACTAGATTATTTAGTACATAAGTCTGTACTGCTAATTAAACAAGATTTTGACTTCAATTTGAAATTAAAATTCACACTAGCATCATTTTTTTCTATATCTTTTAAAATATTCTACAAAAAATATCTACTGATTTACGATATAAGATGCTCTACATTTACGTTTACGTCTAAATATGACGGAGAACTATGAGGCATACAACAAAATTGAATTTGGATTTGTTTTTTTAAATTTAACTAAATTAGGCTATTAATTAAAAACTAACTAAATTTGTGCGCATACATATACAATGAATTATATATATATGTTTTGAATGGTCATATATGTTTCCGAGTTTTACGTTTTTACATGGTTTTCTCATTATGAATTTTCGTTAGAAAAACACATATTTCATATATGAATATTGGTTACTCATTTAAAAGTAATTTGAAATAAAAGTTAAAGTTAAAGTTCACAAAATGTCATATTGTGAAATGTCAAACGAATTTTCTATCTAAATTTATTATTTATATAATTAAAAGTACTTAAGAAACAAGTGGATAAAAACCTTCGCTCCAAATCCAACTGATCTGGTTGATCCTCTCACCTGATGGTTGATCACTTATTTGATTTGTCAATTTATTACGTATTAATTTGAAACAATCGGCTATATTACGTTTAACCCAATTCTTAAAGCGACCAATACGATTGAAGGCTTCAGCAATTTTATTGGTATCGTTGTCGGCAGTTGGTGCTGATAAACTGGATGAGCCAAAATTTGACAAGAGCAAGGCTAAGAAAAGATTAAGTACCTAAAATTTTGGAATGAAAGAGGAGTAGTGTACAGAAAAACAGAAAAACAATATATATATGTATATTAATATATAATACTCACGACAAGATTTCCGATCACAACTGTTGCTAAGAAAAATGGAATGCATGAGACGTCACCAACATACATGCAATCCCACATAGATTCGATCCACTCTCCGCACAACACACGAAATACAATCATAAAAGAGTGCATGAAGTCTGTAAAATTCCAACGTGGCAAATCGCCGTCTGGGAACATATCTTTATGATCTGTGAATTTATATAAAATCATTTTGTTATTAAATAAATCGTTTATATATAAGATGTTTAAGTCAAAAGCTATGAAAGAACAATACAAATAACAGTAATAAGGAAAGTACAACATTAAAAGAATAAAGCGTGCATATTTGCTTAAGAGCCAGTGAAAGTAAAGTTAGGTCTACAAAAAAATCTATTAAGTGGAAAAATTGCAGAAATTTGGGACAAAATGATGAAGTGATTAAAGATATAGAGTAGTATTTATAAAATATATATGTACTTACAGAGTTTTTAAGTAATGTGAGAGAAGTTGAAATTGGTAAAGTGTTTGTAGAAATATATACTATAAAATGTAACGTACAATAGTTCAACTATCAAAAGATTTTAGAGAAAGTTTTAAGATTTCGTTTAAAATATAGTAAAGTATTTCACTTTTTCCAAACTATTTAGTACATGCAATTGATTGGGATTTATTTTAAATAGATATGTAATACATTGTCAGCCTAATTTCAGATTATTCTTTTATGTAATCTCTTTTATTTTATGATCATGCAAGCCACCTAAGTTTATAACTGGGTGATACTGTTATAAATGTTATTTATTTAATATTTGATTAAATAACTCTGTGAAAAAGTAATTAAAGTATCTTTGATAAATTTATGTTATCATTCACACATATTAAAAATATACTACAACATTTTCCTGAAGTATATTGAAATATGTAAATAAAAATTTTTAGACTATAAAAGAACAAAAAGAAAGAATTAATGCAATTTGCATTATATATAAAAAAGAAAATGAAATTCTATACTAAATTTCTAACATAACTTTTGGGTAAGGCACTGCAGATTAAATTCGGATTTTATTTAAATCAACAGACATTAGTTTTATAGTATAATTTCCAGAGGAAAAACTCATACTTTGCTAACTCAAATATAAAATAAATGAACTAAGTTCTGTAGAAGAATCTTTATGGACCTCATAATGTAAAACATTATAATGTGAGTTCCTTTGAAAAAACACTATCCAGAAACATGCATTGCAGAATTAGGAGCGGCTCTGCAGAGTTTTCACAATAGAACATCATAAAATTAAATTTTTAATTTAGTCTGATTTTAGTCTGATTTATATTTACAACTCATATAATAAAATACCCATTATTGTTTTAACTAAAACGATTTATGTATAACTAAATGCGTTGTTTAATTTTAAAAGATTTATATTTTACGAAATCCCTCGAATCCATCAAATGTGTAATAGGACAACACATCAAGAAAATGTTAAAAGACTTAAATGTTACTAAAAACTTGTTAAGAAGTCACTATTATACAATATAATGCTATATATTGAATACCGCATTGTTCTATATTCTGAACATACTTATGTCTTATTAAATCCGGTATGTTATTTACAATTGCAAGTACAATTACATTATAAAAATTCTCTTTATTGTTTAAACTTTAAGGTTCTATATCTTATTAAAAATTCCGATTCAATATTATATGACAACTCAATATAAAAATACTTATTATTATATGCTCTCAAAGGACTTGAGTCTTACTAAAATAGTATGAGTAATTATTATTACGCAATAGACTACCATATAATGAAAATCCTCGTATTATATGTTCTAACAATATTTATATATTATTATTAAATCAAATGAATTATTTACAAAAATGCAATAGAAAATTATTTAATGAAAACTAACATTATTTTTAATCTTTAAGATCTTATATCTTATTAGAAAATTCCAATGAATTTTCCAGAAATTGAAAAATATATCATAAAAATTTTCATTATTATACGCACTTAAAGGTCCTACGGCACATTCACACTGTCTCTTTTAGTTGGTTTTGTGCTTTATATCCACTAATGAGGATGATTAACCATACAAAGTGATTTCATATAAATTAACTCATTATTATTGATAATCAGTTCATTTAAGGTGAAAATTGTCGAATGCAACCCTTAAAAATAAATTTCCCACAAAGGAATTTACCAAAATTTAAAGTTTATATGTAATATGCAAGCAAACAACAACTCAGCTGAAGCAACTGAAATATGTGTCATATAGTTTATATGTAATATGTAAGCAAACAACAACAAAGGCACTGAGGAAGTAAGTATTTAATAAAATCATTGTTTTTATTAATTGATTATGAAATTGATATATCATATATTTATATATATATTTATTAATGATGTAATATATAAGATATATATTTAATTTTTTTGTGTGATATATTATTAAATGAAGTTTATAAAAGTTTATACAAATTTCACCAGATGCATAAAGGAGCTCATTATAATGAGAACTTTCACTTATTAATATAAATAAGCAAGTGCCTAAATGAGACAGTGTGAATAGCACTTTCACATGCTTTACTAAAATACCAGTAACAGGGCAGTATATCATACAATTTCCCAATATGGGAATATTAGAAAAGGAGATGAAAAATATGGAATGTTTCCATATGTTTGATTACATTCTTATGAAATTTCACAGTTATACCATAGAAGTACACTTCATTTAAGTTTCTATTATTGTGGGAGAGCAAAGTTTATACATTGTCTTATTTATAGTAAATGTTATTATGCAAAAAAATTTTCAAAACATTTATATATATATAAAACCTACTTAATGAAATATTTATTGTGTATTTATGAAAATTATGTTAAAAATATAAAACATTTATTACAAATGGACCACATAGATAAGCTACACATAAAAAGTACATAAACACAGTAGTAAAGTAATATAGATGTTACAGCAAACGTACGCTATATGCTCTAGATAGTTCTAATCAAAACATGTGCTCCAATAACGAACAAACACATATACTTTTAACAGAGTTTAGTCAGTGCTACTTACCATGGTAATTCTTTCCGAACAGTTGCATTCCCATCACAGCAAAGATGAAGATGATAATGCAAAGTACAAATGTTAGATTACCCAATGCACCCATTGTGCGGCCCATAATTGAAATGAGTAAATTTAGTGTTGGCCATGATTTTGCCAATTTGAAAACTCTTAGCTGTAGTTTTTGTTATAATTTTTGTTATGTGTGTTTATAAATGATGAGATATTTATGAGTCCAATGTTAGTTTAAATGGTCGGGTGTGAGTTGGGATTCATTGTTTTTGTTTATGGTATTGTTAGTAAGCCGGGCAAAGCAGTAGAAGAAAAATGTTATAAAACGTCAAAACAAATTAGTTTTAAAATTTCAATACAAAATTTTTATACTTATATGTATATATAGAAGTTGTGTATCACACACATATTCTATATAATTATGTGTTTATATTAATTAATTATTTTTTAATCATTATGTTTATGTAGAAATGCTTAAACGTTTCAAATTCCAAATGCAATTTCGTGTCTTCCAGCTACCACGCGGTAATGCAAAAAATTAGGGAAAATAACTCGATTGTGTCACTTATTTTCCCCAAGATAAGCCAAAATAAAACGTGCTCGAAGCTTAAATAATTTATTTCGTTAACAAAAATTGTTAATTTTTGAACAATTAATATTAAATTAAAACTTAAATATGCTGTATTTACTAAATTGTGTTGAAATTGTTCAAATCATTTCGTATTCATAAAAATGTTAGGAAGGTAAAAATATTTAAAATAAATTCAAAAAGTATTTAATGTATGCAGTTAAGGAAAATACTAGTTTAATAAAATGATTAGGTTAGTATGGCATTTCCCCTAATACCTGTGTAATTTTTGCCAAACAATTGCATTCCCATAACAGCAAAAATGAAGATTATAATACATAAAACGAAAGTCAAGTTGCCTAAGGCACCGACTGTTTTACCCATGATGGATATCAGTAAGTTTAACGTTGGCCATGATTTGGCTAATTTGAAAACACGTAGCTGGAATTTTGTTGTAATGTCAAAATAGAAATACAAAAAATATGCTTATTATAGTTTAATTGCTTATTGACAATTGGGAGCATTCTTATGCCATTTAACCCATTTGGTTGTATATATATTGTTGAATCAACAAAGTTTTATAAAATATCTTATTGATGCCATTTAAAATGAATTTCTCTTATCTTACCAAACGAAATGAACGTAACACAGATAGACCCTGTACGCCTTCTAAGCCGAGCTCCAGTAATGATAGCGCTACAATTATGAAATCGAATATATTCCAGCCTTCTTGAAAGTAGTATTTCGGACTCATCGCCATTAGTTTCATAGTTGCTTCAATAGCAAAAGTCGCTGTGAAAAACTGCAAATATTGTTACATTTTAATATAGGATTTTTAGGTAAAATACTATATGTAAATTTATACTTACATAATTACCACTTTTAAGTATCTTTTCCATATCTGGATTCATGTTATGATGATCCATCGCCATAAACATAGTATTCACAACAATACAGAGCGTGATGAAAAGTTCCACGAATGGATCGAAGACAATGAACGATACCCATTCCTGAAATTTTAACCAAACCCAACAACAGTCCCACACACAAAATATATCAATGGCTTTCATCGTTGCTTCAAGTGCCTTATCTTTAAACGTGGGACCATCCTCGTCGTCATCTTCTGTTGGAAAATAATAAACGGAGACTGAACCATAAAATTTGGTATTAGTCGATTTTGACCAACTTTGACTCCGCCAATTTTTTATATATATTTGCATTAATCGTTGCGTTTTTACATAATATATATTTTAATCGCATTTAATATAATTCAACATTAACATATAAATTTAGAACACGCAACAATGTCAATTATTTCAAATACACGAATATTAAAATAGGTTTCCATAATAAAATTTGGTAGCAAAACTCACAAGTCAAATTTTGGTGGACATTAAAAAGAGAGGCTTACGTTTCGAACTTCATTTTGCATGATTTGATTAAAATTTTCTTACTGCACTGAGCTGTGTTTATATTTTAATTTTAAAGATTTAAATTTAATTTTTAACTAACTACTGCTCTAGAGAAAGCATTATCTATTATCAATTATTTTTGATCATATATACTAATGCATATTTATTCGTATTGTATAGCAAACTTTACTACAATCATTTCTTCAATTACACTATGTGACAGTAAATTCTCTTTTATGATTTTTCAATGGAATTATATATAATTTAGTGCGGCTGAGCTTAAGTCTGCAATCCCTTTTTCTCCTGAGCACTGCGGTCTCTGGTATTAACATTTTAAAAATTTTTAAAAATGAAACTCGAGAGAGTTAATAAAGAGATAAAGAGATACGAACTTCATTATTGAGTAAATAGATGAAAATTTTTGCTTAGATCTTCGTTTTCAAATTCTCTTCCCTTCCCGTCAATAAGAAAAATTTTGTCAAATATTTTTTAAAAAAGTTTCTTTAGCGGTTGATTTTAAGAGAGATTTTTTTCAAGAGATACGAACTTCATTATTGAGTAAATAGATGAAAATTTTTGCTTAGATCTCCGTTTTCAAATTCTCTTCCCTTTCCGTCAATAAGAAAAATTTTGTCAAATATTTTTTAAAAAAGTGTCTTTAGCGGTTGATTTTGAGAGAGATTTTTTTCAAGAGATACGAACTTCATTATTGAGTAAATAGATGAAAATTTTTGTTTAGATCTCCGTTTTCAAATTCTCTTCCCTTCCCGTCAAAAAGAAAAATTTTATCAAATATTTTTAAAAAAAGTTTCTTTAGTGGTTGATTTTAAGAAAGTACCTCTTTGAGAGGGAAGAAAGAAAACAAAGGGAGAGATGTCTACAGCAAAAATATATATCATATCTAGCAAAAGTTCACTAAAAAAATGAAAATCGTGTCATAGACCCAACTGTGTGGAATATAAACAAATTGCAAATTTGAGCTCCGTAGACCAAAACCCACCAAAAACCGTTGAAAAATCAAGAAATAGACAAGCATATTTCATTTTTGTCACATAATGTTATTAAACGAAATAAAATGTTTATTTCTACAAATTTTATTAGCGTCACTTTTGCTTCAAATATTTACCAGAAACAAATTAATTTACACTATAACTAATTATTTAAAAGTATTTTTTTTAATTAATAGTGAGCATTTACTGATTTTACTACTTATGATTCAAATTTAAAGCTATATTTGACATGATTTTGCTTAAAACATTTAAACAATTATATGAATTAAAATAACATAGACTAGATACATAAAAGATAGAGTTCAAAGTAAACAGAACTTTTTTAAAAAAGATATTTGTAGTGAGGCCATCCAGTGACAATTACATTCTCCGGAAAACTAGTTGTTTTATTGATAAATAAATGTCATGACATCAGGAAATGAGATTTGAAGTCACTAACCAAAAAAACCAAAACCAAAACCAAAAAAACGGATGGTCTTGAGAATATATATCATGAGTAACAATACATAATGATGATGAGTTGTTACCCGAAACTATAATAACCTGAGAAACGATCAGAACAGTAATTGAATTTGTTAAAAATCAAATAAATGTATTATTTAAATTCTCGCAAGTGGCGCTGCTTCAATAATGATAGGCCCAGTACCTTTCAGCGATCTAGGCAAAGAAAGTCTATACCTTCTTATGAATCGCGCAGAGGAAAAGGAAAAGTAACTTTATTGGGAAGAACTATTTAAACCATAGCAATCTAAAATGCTTTTGTGGACTTACAAGGATTGAATAGAATAAAATGCTTCAAGGATTGGATAGAACTAATACAGAGGTACCCAAAAATTATTACCGAAACATTAACCGGTCACTGCAGCTGTAGACACAGCGGAAGCGGAAGAAACACCGAGGAGGGTATTTCATGGAATATAGAGATTCAAGGTTAGTAAAGATAGGCTGTCTTTCATTAAAGAAATCGGGCTTGAAGAAATACACAATAGATGTTTTAGGTCCGTTTTACTTATAATAACAATCATTTAAATTAATGAAACTGTAATTAAGCATCTATATTAGATCCATTTTTTGCTTCTTGAAGGTACATTTCTATAAATGAGCATTGGGTGAGCGGCTTATTCCAATTAAAATGACTTAACACAAAATGGCTCTCATGGATCGAAATTTGTTATCGAGTCTTTTTTGGCTAAAAATCACATTTTAACTATCAACCACATTAAATCCATTTTGGCATTATATGGTTTCTGCTTTTAAAATCATTTCTTTGCTAATGAAAGTTTTGTATTTCGTGGATGTAGAAGTTATCTGAAATGCTTGTTACTAGTATATCCTGAACGGCAATAACTTTAAATACTTTAAGACTATTTTTAATCTCATGACATCTTGACATTAAGTTAGTGAAAGATTTATCTTACCAACATAGGTAATTGCTAATAGATGTCTTTACTACAAATAATTTATTCATAATGCCTTGTATAAGCCAAATTACTATATATACTCAGGTAAATATATATTTTTTAGTTAAAAGTAGTAGTTTATAAGCATTTAAATTTTAAATGTATTTCTTAATTATAGTAAAAATTGTGAAGTATTGCAATAGATACTATATTAATGTTAAATAAATTAAATTAAATATTATAAACTTTATAATATTTAAAATTTAGTACAACTACTTTATAACAATGAATAATACTTAAAAAATCACTTGTTTAAATACGTGTAGTTATAAACAAATATTTGAAAATACTATTATAATAATAAAACATATGGTATATATTAATAAAACGTATAAATATGTGTAGTTTTTAATGAAAATGGCAAGTTTAAAGATAATTATTTATGTAATTATAATATCTAATTTTAAATCAATATAAATTAAAAGCAATCTATAATACCTTTAGCAAATGGTGTAGCTATTAGAAATCTTAAGTTTCTTCTAAGTTTCAGTTGGAATATTGAAAATAGAGAAAGTAATTTTGATTTAAAAAATAACATTTTAGTTTACAGAAACATAACGAGTTCGATTCCTGGTACTTGCAGTCTTAAAAAATTATTTACTAATAATTAAATATTATTAATTAAATTATTTCAAAACTACTGATGATGATAATTTGACAATACTTTAAACAGATGTATGGTCAGCCAAAAATTCAATTATTAAAATAATATAAAAGAAATTTTTGTTGTTGTTTTTTAATTGTTCCTCCTCTAGTAATTAAGAATTTTTTAGAAATTGTTAAACGTTAAAATTACTTCACAAATTATATAACTTATATATAACTACACGTTAAGTGAAAATAAGTACCGCGAGTTTCACTTAAATAGCTTGGTTAGGTGATACTTAAGTACCACGGGTTTGAGCTAAGTAGTTTCGGGTTAATTTATACTTAAGTACCAACAGATAAAATAATAATATAACTAAAATCGAACAAATGATTAATCCATTATAAATACAAATTATCTTATGAAGTTATCGAATACTGAAGTTTGATGTCACGATTCAATATTTAACATGTTTTTTTATTTATATAGCACAAATACGTCTTTCGTAATGTATTGTGTGTTCCACACTCCAAAATAAAGTCCATATGAAGAATTTCGTTCAAGTAACGAACATTTTATAAAGTTATTAAATATTAAAGACAAACGTCAGTATTAAACATACGAATATTTATATTAATATTGCTTTATAAAAAATAATGCTGGTATAAGGCCTATAAATGAATAAGCATAAACAGCAGATAAAATCTTTCAATTGTACAGAATTCTATAGTCTTGCCAAGTCTTTCGTAATGTTTAGTTTTAAACAAGAATTAAATGTAATTTTTTATAATTAACATGTATACGCGACTAATAAGAGGTGAAGAAAATTATGATTTGCTGTTTCAACATAAAAATTTATACCTATTAATTTTTATTATAACCATTTTATATAACTAAAGTGTACCTTCTATGAGAAAATAGTGCATATAATTAGATTTGTTGAAATGATTTTGTTTCTGTAAATATTTTGAATGTATGATTTTGCTGCCAAAGAACAAATTTTAATTTATATCAAAACACTTATGAAAACCTAAATTTGACTAAATTTTGACTAAATGCGTTCATTTATTATTTAAGTAAATGATTAAATAATTTCGCTTAATTACTAATTCAACAGTGTACTAGCGACAATGCAAACTAATTACGAAAAATTATTTCTAAAGCAATTAGTGACTACTGAGCAGCTTCAAAATGATTGGTATTGCTATATAAAAATTAAATAATGTTTAAAAAGTGTTTGATCTAAAAAAGTATCTATGCAAAAGTGGTAATAAAACATGCGCTTTGGACTGTTTTTAACTCTAATTTTGAAAAATACAAATATCAAATATCAACGAGTAATTTTGTCTACATAATGCATTTAATTTTCAACTAATTAAAATAAATTATGTTGAAATGAATTAGCACTACAAATTTATTACTATAACTTCATGCAGCTATAATTGAATAATAATAATAACATTATCAATAAGAACAATAATAATAACAGGAATAATTGTAAGTTAATTCAACATTGAGAACAAAATTATTATAAAATATTGTGAAAAATAAATGAAATAAATTATAATCAATATAATAACATAAATTATTGTTAAAGATTTTGCATTTTAATTTTTCCAATTTTTGTTTTTTTTTTTTAATTTTGAAATTTTTTTTTTTTGGTGAAGTGAAAACCTCTCTTTTTTTAATAATTAATTAATTTTGTGTAAGCAACAACTTTTGTATTGAGAGAAAATAGTTACATATTTATGTATATGTATAGATTTGTAGATTTGATTGAAGCTTAATAGGTGCAGAGCTACAAGCACAAAAGTCATTACCATACACATAGGTAAATCTTTTCATAAGGACACATATTTTTCAAAAAAAAAAATACGAATAATTAAAAATTATAGCATAAAATGTGAGTGAAAGTGTATTGTTTTGTAAATCTTCAGATAGCATCACCGAAAGAATGTTAAATGGACGAGTCAAAGAAGTCATTTATATATTATAATATATATTTTGGTTGGCTTTTAATTAAAAATAAAGAAATAGAGAGAATAAAAATTAGTAAATGTTTGCTGATGAGGATATATAATCAAATAGTTTTATTTTATAAAAAATTAACATTGATCATATTTAAATGCTACTTTTTTTTTTGGAGATTGAACATAAATTATATCTACAGTACATCTACTATATGTAGTACAATAGTTGAAAGTAATTTCCATATATTATTTATAATATTTTTAAGCAATGTAAGCGTAAATATATACAAAACCAATTTTGCAAAATAGTATTTAACTTTGTAGTAGTAATTATGTTTGTAGCATTTAAATAGTTTCATTACTGAATATTTTAGATGATTTTGGCAATGTCATTTTGTAAATCATGCCAATCTATCATGAAAATATATTGTATATATACAAATGTGCTTTATGTTTTATTATCTTTTTTATGAAAATATTATTATTAGTAAAAAAATTCAATAATTGTTAAATTTCAAAATTAAATTATAATGCATTTATATAATTATGTATATAAACATTATATCAAATATATTAATTTTTTTTTGAGTTTTGAATTGTTAACAAAAAAAATTAATAAAAAATTCGCATACATATTCGGTTATAAATATTATTAGAAATTTATAAAACATATTTAATAGAACAAGAAAATATTATTTAAGCAATAGAAACAAACAGACATTTATTTATAACGAATTTATAAATATTTTTTTTTTAAACGTAATATTTGAAACGCACAATATTTACAAATAATAATCGAAATTATTTAAAACAATACAAAAGTTCCATATCAATTCATTTTGGAAAATACGTAAATTATTTACAAATAAATAAAATTGTAAACATGAATGCAATTCATAAATGGAGAAATTTTTTGAAATTATAGGCGAGTTTTTTACTTTAAAAAGCAAATTGACTTACCGCCTCGGTCACTAGCGCGACTATGCCGACCAGCGGCTTGCTCTATTATGTCGTTTAAGACCATCACATCTTTAAAGCGAGATAAATTGAACATTTATTTGTTTTGTTAAGTTATAGTTAAAATAATCATAGGAAGTTTTATATGACTCATACCTTTCATGTCGACCACCGTTTGCGTTTGGACGGGCTCGATAAAAGGATTGTCGTGGTGTTTTATTTTTCCGGCATCATCAGTACATTCAAGGCCCAATTCCTATGAATTAGAAATATATTATTAATAAGTGACATATTTGACTTACACCAATCTTTATTCTTATCTATTTATAAATAACTTTTACATATTTGTTTTATATTATTTGTTTTATATTGTTTTATATTATTATTAAATTGTATATATAATTTAGTACTTAATAATTGATGTAAGGTATCACTGAGTATCAATATTAATAGATATAATTACTACATACTGTATTTTAGTACCTAATAAAGAAAGTTCTTCATTATTTATAGCGTGTTGCATGTGATTGGCAATCTATTAAAATCCCAACGAGAATAAAAGAGAACTACCATATTACTGAATTCGTCCTCTGGGAACAATCAAATATATAAGTATAAAACTATTTATGAGACCTTATTAGAAAATAAACTCAAAAAATTTTCAAGTAATTATATATCTAATTTGTAGCCTATATAATGTACCTATGCACTTATACAATTCATTACATATCACAGCAGAGAAGCATAAAGTATATTAAAATATTCATACCGTTAAAGAAAAGGTTGGGAACCATTAGTATAGACTCTTATTATTATAAACTCTAATTTATAGCAATTTAAACCGTTGGCTATTTAAGCTAGCAGAGTATAAAACCTTACAAAAAGTTCTGTGAAAGACATTATAGTTATCACAGAAATTTAGTTTGCTATATGGTCTTATATTATTTGAACCAAACACTGAGTTTTAATTTTTGTTTTAATTTTCATAATTTTATCTGATATGACATTAAGTTGGTAATAGACTTTTTGGAAAATGTAAATCAACTGCTTCATTTCGTAGTCGGTAAATAAATATATTATGATTATAAGATGGTTTTCTTCGCTCTGGTAGAATGTCTTTAGTACAATATTCAGAAGTGAGTAAGAAACGTTTTTGCATGCCGTCTTGCAAAATATGTGATGTATTTAGATTTTGAAAGTTATTCTATAATTTATCTCTTATGTGTTTGGCCCTTCATTTCAGACCGGGAATCAAAATCGCTTCAATAAAACAGGCAATTCGAAATTTTTGTATGAAAAAAATTTTTAATTAAAAAAACAAATCATTTATCTAGTGTAAAATAGTACGAATTATTTCCTTGTATAGCCATAGACTAACACTAAGAAATTTGTTAATACATTTAAAACCATTCAAGTTTAATTAGTTTTTGGTGTTATTTTATAATAGAGAGTATAACGAAAATTACTTACGTAATCTCGATGTTGTTCCTTATGATTATTATCCATATAATTTGTACCATTCGAGGCAGCACCCGATTGATGTCGCGTATTTCGATTTCTTAATTTACTTTCTTTGGTCATCGTACTGGCACCCAAGGCTGCCATACCACCAAGCAAATCATTATGCGATGTATACGATATTCTTGACTGATGCGAGGTATAAGATGAATGTCTAGAACCTATGCCATTAAAAAAAATCCTTATTTATTTTTGTCATATTCGTTGAGTATATGTATTGAAAATACCTAAATTGCCATAATAAACTGGCACAATAATAGCACCATTTTCCTCAGACATCGGTGTTACCGCATTGGAGTCATCTGCATAAGGCAAATGCTGTTGTGCATCTTGATATGTTGACAGTACGAGCGGCTTTCGATCGCTTCCTGGTATGCCAAAACGTCCTCGCCCATTCCGTATTGTATACTGAGGTGGTTTTTTGTTTGAATTTTTTGTTAGTAGTTGCTTTATATTTTACACACATTTAGGGTAGTAGTAGTAGTGGTGAGTGGCAAATATGATATAAGATTATTATTCAAAATAAAGTTTAGAATGACTTTATGAATTGATTGACAACAACACAAAACCATAACTAAAAACTAACTCCAAAATTATATACAAAATATTTAATCAGAACAAATTTAAAATCATATATCGAATATGTCAAATGAAAACTATTTAAGCGATATAAAATTATGAAAAAATATTATATAAAATTTACATAATTAGTTTTTATTAAAAATATTAAAGATTAAAAGATTAAAATAGTACAGGATTTGAGAATAGGAACTGCACTATGGGCATTAAGTGTGGCCCAATATTTATTAGGAGCAACAGAATACAAAAAAATACTGTAACATAAAGTTAAACACGACAAAAAGTATAGGTATGATTATAGATGATTATTGTGCATTTTACAAACGATATCGAGATGGAATGAGCTTAAGATAGTTATGTAGATGCGATTTTACGATCGTTATATATATTAGATATACGAATATAAACAAAATATTAAATCAAATGATAGTAAATAATTATACAGTAACGATTATGGATAATGATAGTACCTAAAACACAAAATAAACACTAAATTTTTAAGGTATTACTGGATTATATAGTATTTGCATGTAAGATACAATAGAATGGTTACAATATAAATATTTTATTATATATATATATATGTATATATTAAGTTGATATTATTACATTTTACATATTACATACATACATACATACATATATGCACATACATATACATATACGTTTAGGTGGTGTTAAATAATGTCGACAACGAATTTTTATTTTGATAGATACAAAATTTGCCATATTGATGTGTTTGGTGAGTTCAGATGAAGATATAATGCTATTATTATGTATGTAACAAAATAGTATATATGTGGTATATAGCATAAAATTATATATTATATAAGGAACAATGCTACGTATTAGCTTTATTGTGAACAGCGTATATACTACATATATAATACTATTTGTTTAGAAGTTTGTTATATTTGCATTGACAAATTGTATGGCGCGATTTTTGGCGCTTACCTTATGTGAACTACGTGATCCCCTGCGTATGTTAAACGGTGAACCAGGTAAGGATAAGGATGTCTAAGTTTTTTAATTTAAATAAAAATATATAGAAGAAGAAAAAGAAAAATAAATGAAATCAAATATTCATCTATGCAAATTTTGGTAATTTTTTTGTTAAATATTTCTTTTATTGCAGAATTGAATTTGTATAACGAGTGAGAGAGTTAAAAGTACTAAATACTGTGTATTATGTATGTGGTGGTATATTGTATATATGAGTATATGTATGTTTATGAACTTTAGTTACTGGAGATCCAAAGTTATTTATAGAAAGAATGACAGAATAAAGTGTAACTTTTTTGGAACATAACTGGACTTGGTATGATTTGTTTGCAAATGTATGGATAGTAAGAGTTGTTTTGAATTGAGTTTTAAAATTGAAAATTTATATAAACTAAAGTAAATTAAAAAAAATAAAAAAATTTAAATGTTTAACGTCAATAACATAATTTAAAATAAAATAAATGAAAACGTTGTGTTGTGAACTAATTAAAACGGCATAGCAAAATTACGACTACGAAGGGGACGGGTTTAAATAAATCACTGCTACAGTATTGGACCAAAAGTCAACAATATCTAAACTATATTCATATAGTCATAAACAAATTTTCATATATGCTTATTAAAATGAATAAATTTTTGTTTTAACAGAACTTAACTCTTTAATTAATTAATTTTATTAAATATACAATTCATTTTAAATTACTTAAATTTATTAAAATTTATTTCTATAAATCACTTTTAAACATGTTTAATTATTAATTTTGTTATTTCTATAATTTCAAAATTATTTATGCAAAATTTAAACAAACTAAGAAATTAATTTAATTACTTAAAATTAATTCTACGGCATTTCTACAGAAACGAAATAAATTTTTCAAAAAAAAATTTTAAAAGGAAATTTCCACAAAAATAAGGAATTATTGTATTACAGTTTCCAATGAAATTGTATCTGAATTTGTTGTTGTACTTGTATTGACACTGGTAATGTTTTTCGGTTATTTTTTGTTGTTGTAATTGTAATTGTAATTGTAATTGTAATCTTAGTTTAAGTTTTTTATTGTTTGCAGTTTGTATTGTTAAGATACATTTGTATTGTACAGAGAGTCTTGGCAATGTTCAATTTATAAGTATTTGTAAAGCCAATTTGTGTCTTTAAATAATGTTCTTTAATATTAAGAACCTACCTGAGCAAACGATGGAGCAAAATTAATTTAAATTTTTATATATTTTTTGTACGTTCTATTAAGTTTTCTTTAACAATCGCACAAAAGTTCGCTGTTTTGCTTTATAAAAAGTTAAATCAATTTATTTAGACGCTCGGAAACAAGTAATGCCATAGTGAAACTGTATTTTAGAGAAAGTAAAATTCTAAAGCCAATTAGAAACAAGGCAATTGATGTAGGCAAATGCAATAAATATCAAACATAAGTCAAAAAATTTGTTTCAAAGTAATGCAATATAGTGTGAACCTAAGTACCTAATTAATTATTATTGGTGACAATTTATTTAATTGTTTAATTTGTTATAATTAATTTTTAAATTTATTGTAATTATTTGAATTAAGCTCTTTTGTGCTTAAGCGGCAACGGCCAGGTTTAAGCTTAGGTGATTAAATTGTGATATAAGTTATTTAGTTCTAGAGCAGCATGAAAATAAATTTAAATAAAGGAGATGAAAAAAATTAAATAAATTATTTAGTTAAATATTATACTTATTTTAAAATACACTATCCTCAATTCGTTAAGATTTGTTAAGGTAATCAAGTAAATGCTAGTATAAAACTTATGCTATTTAGTTTAGTTATCTAATAAAGCAAATATTATATCAATAGTTTTTTTATCAAACTATAATAAAATCCTTCACACACATCCTAAAAATTAAATACTTAATATTTACTGAAATAGTTTTTAATTTTTATTTTATTTATTTTTATTTTATTTAATTATTTTCATTCTTGGCATAAAAATTAATCCAAATATTTTTATAATAATAATGCACTCTCTTTCTCAACATTCAATCTGGGAATATTCCATTCTCATTCATTACAATTAATTATTCATTTCTAACAGTGTCTTGTTAAAATAAACGTTTAACAACGACACCCAATTTTGTAGCTACTCCGACGATATTACTATAGGTATTAGCCAGGAGCCCCTACGCTTTAAGATCGTCGTTCAGAAAGCTTACGAGCGCCATTGCAAAAATCGGGTGAAAAGTCAATCAACAAAACACACAATATATTCTGAGATCAAAATACAGGTTCTGTAATGGCCAGTTTAATATTGACAATACTAGCTTTGAAGCAGTGAGAGAATTCAAATACTTTAATTCTGAACTCTAAAGAAGACACATTAGCTGCGATACAAGATAGAATTCATTTAGCAAATAAGACATACTATGTGCATATAAAACTTTTTAAATCTAAAATCTTATCAAGACAATTAAAACTCCGTATTTATAAATGTCTAATTAGACAAGTCCTGACGTATGGCTGTGAAGTATAGACACATAAAAGAAACGAAACATGTCAACTACTATCCCACTAACGGAAAGTATAGTGAAAGGTTTTTGGCCCAATACGTCTAGATGATGATACATATCGTATTTGCAACAAGAGGCAGACTTAAAAAGAGGTGGCAAGATAATGCTGAAGACGATTTAATAAAGCTACGGTTGAATGAGTGAAAAACTTGGCATCGGATTAAGTCAGATGGCCAAATTTGGTTGAGGAAGCTCCGGTTCACTCAGGACTGTTATGTTTAGGAAGAAGAATCTAATTGTATGTTAATATTTTGTGTTGTGCTTCGTGTTATAATTAAACAATTTCATTTACATTATTGACAACTTTATAAATGGATTTAGTAAAAGTTATTCAAAGTCCTTATGATCGGTTTTATTGGCTCGATAAATGTTGAACCTTAATTGAGAGAGGAAAAGAAAGTTTGATTGATAGACAAACAGGTAAATAGTCAATAAGAGCAAAGTAGGGGCGGGAACAACTGATTATTGCAGTTTATATAATATGTTACATCCCAAACGCAATAAAAGTGACTTTGATCTGATACTAGATCCAGAACTGAATTTCAAAGGGTTTCAAAGGGATTCATAACTAAAAGAAATTATGGTGCAATTACTTGATGCAATTATTAACTGTAATATCAAGTAATATCTTTTCGATAGTAAACTTGAAGTTAACCTATTCTTTCTAAACTGTATAGTTTATATAAAAACTAAGTTGAATATATATCACATTTAATTCAAAGCCATTCAATGTGTAGCCAACAATATTGGAAAATGAATGAAGGATTTAACAAAAAATAATCAACATTTACTATATTTAGAATATCGTATATTCTATATATATAGAGCCAAAATTTTAGTTAAAAATGACAGAATCCTAAATCCAAGTAAATTAAGTGCGAATATATAGTCCAAAATAAATCGTTGTATCGCTCATAAATATATGAATATAAATGTATATAATCAATTTTTTATATAACTTTTTTTTATTTAGCTAATATTTAATGTTATAAAAACATATAAAATTTTTTCTATTTATCTATCTTTACATTTATTTATCTATTATTTATCAATGCTCATCTGAATATCGCTTTGTGGTTACTCCATCCAGTGTACAGAATGCGTTGTGGTATTTTTCTATAAGGATAACGCGTTGTGGTCGAATATTTACGAAGTATGAGGTATTTAGATTATGTTTTATAGTCATTTTTAATTTAGCATATTTTTTTGACAATGGTTTGAGTTTACCACATTTAATTATAATATTACTATAATCAGTTTATTTAGCTCAATTTGTGGATAAAATATTTATTTATACATTACTTAATCTCCAAATGAAACTGAGTTTCGAAGACTTTAAGTATAAATTAAAAGTGTATAAAATGAAGGAATAAATCCAAATGTTGAACCATATAGCTGTTCCGGCTTAAATTAAACAATGGACTTGTATATTAAAGCAAAGTTGTAAATCTTTTAATTGAAATGTGTTTCATGTATGTAGTTTTCAATTGCAGTCTTAGGAGATGAATTTATTTTTCAGTCCGAAATTACAAACAAATAAAAGTTACTTGATATTCACCGGCTTGTGGCCGAACATATTGCTTCTTTATGGAGGAATGATAAAATACTATTTTAAAATATCTACAGTATTTATATAATCTACAAAACTACAAAAAACCAAACTAATTTTTTATTATTAGGATAGAGTGAAGTAAGAATCAATTAGCTACGCTTAGACTGTTTGGTCTTAAGCTAAAAAAATGTAACATATAGATAATAAATATAGAAGATTACAGTGATTTACCACTGCAGAAATATGAGACCAAGAATATTAAGATATATTATTAATTTACTGAAAACAAACTTGAGCAGATAAGTATATATTTTTCTAATCACTTTATCGTAGAGTATAAGGTAAAACAAATAAAAAACTATACTTAAAAGTAAAAGAAAAGTTTTCTAGAATTCATTAACAAATATTTATTTTCCTAACTTTATATTCTCTAACTTAACCCTCTAATGCCAAGGACCGCTTTGAGGCGGGCTTAACTTTTTTACGATTTACAAGACAACCAGACATCAGAATGAAAAAAGGTCTTTGGATTTAGCTTTTTTGACCTCAAATTAATCTAGACTGATTTTTTCAACTTAAATAAAAAATGTGACATTAGAAGGTTAAAAGTTTCAATATTTTCTTTGTAGATAAAATATCATCTAATATGTGTAAAGGAATTGTTTATATGCAAGAACCTCAATGAATTATGTTAATTTAATTTTAAAGTTATAATGATTATTGCATTAATGTTGTATATATTTATAACTTATAACATATTAATAATTAATAATAGACTATATTAACAATTTAAAATAAAATAATTGGTTTAAGGCACAATGTAATGTGAAGTCATGCAAATGCAATTTTAAATATAACATTAATACCTATGTTTTTCTACACCTAAAATATCCATTTATTATAAATGCATGAAACAGTTTTTAAATAAAAACAAATATTTAAGTATTAATTTGTATTATTTTTAAATTTTTTTCTATGAAAATAATTGGGAAACTGATTCGCAAATATTTTATTAGAATAAAATGTAAAATAAATTTGCATTTTTATTACAACGAATGTTATATTAGTATTTTTTATTATATCAGTTAAATAATGTTTTGAGATTAAAATTAAGGCAGCTAATCAATTTGAGCTATTGATTGATTTATTTATTTATCTATCTTTTATTTATCTACATCTTAAAATACAGCCTAATTAACAGATGGATGAAAATTCGTAGAGAAAGAAATGAATCTCACTGAATTGATTGATCTTATAAAACAGATTAATAATACTTGATAAGACTGTAGCAACTATTCTCAACATTCTCATATTCTCAACATTTTTAAAACTACACGAATATGCAGCCTAAATAAACCTTAAAAAAATCAATACTTTACTTTGCAAAATTTCGTTGGAACTCGAAATCTGATATGAGATTTGAACATATTCCCCTGTGATTCTATCTTTCAAATCTTTATCAATAAGTAGGATCTTAAGAATAAGAGCTTCAAAATGAGTTCCCAATGCGATATTTTAAAAACAGCAAAACTTTTAAGATATGGCACCTACAAATTAAAGACACAATCAGTAATGTAATGATTACATTATGCAAATATCAAGTTTATATATTTGTAAACAGGCTCTTTGATACATGGGCCCCACTTTGACTACGCTTAGACTTTATTAGTTCTTTTAATGAAAAGTGAGCCCATAAGAGAATTGCTTATACCTGAATAGTAGTACACCATAGAGCATGTGTTTGTTCAACATTTTTATTCGATAATAGATTGAATGTGAGATCTTTTTTTGTTTTAAAATAGTTTCGTGATTGATTAAATAATAAGTATCTCGTTAAGAGTTTAGTGATTTATTTAAAGAAAAGAGCCATTTTTCATAGTTTTATGTGATAAAATTTTATTTTGGACAGTCTAGCTACGCAGTCCGTAACGCAGTCTAGCTACACTCATGCCTCACAAGGAAGCCATCGACCTAGTATATTATTTTAAATCTAGAGTAGAATTATTGATATTGATATATTGATATAATATAAATATTGAAATATTGGTAAATAGAGTAACATCAGTTTTTCAGTATCGAACAGGTCATTATTTTTTGAGAATTATTGAGATAATATGCTCCACTACAGGTTATTAGAAGTAGTATAGTAAGTATTTTTTAAAATTAAATTTCATTTTATAAGTGATCTATAGATTATAATACTAAGCCTTACTATATAACTCTTTTAATTTATTTAAGATGTAATGCAGTACCTACCTAAAACCGAAAGCTATTTCAAACATAAAACTATTAATATTAACATTAATTAATATTTTTATTTCTTGTAAAATTTAATAACACAATTAATAATTTAATTGTTTAATTTATTTGGAGAATTAACTAATTTAGTCTTTTATACTTTTGATAAGGAATTTTTTATTTCTTGAATAAAAATATTAAACATATAAATTCTTCTTCGAAGGAAGTCGGCAGTCATATATGTAATTACGGTCTGGAGAATATATAATAATGAACACAGTAGACCAGAATATCAAAAATATCAAAAACTGTGAAGAATACATCTTTTAGACAGAAAAGTTTTACACGAATGATGATTATAGGCAATTCTTTTATAAATTAAAAAACGAATCTTACCTTAAGAAGTCAATATCTAAATAACTTAATTGCAGACTTTTTCCATATTTTTCAGTATTATTCTTTTTTTTTGTTTTTAAATTAATGTGCTAGGAATTAGAAGATGGTCAACTCTTATGTCAAAAGTAGTTTAAGAATAATAAATTTCAGGTTTTTTTTAATTATTCAATCTTTGTGTTCAATAACATTAACTTATAAAAACAACAAGTAACTATTATTTTTCTAACATTTGTGATCATGCATGATATTTAATAAATAACAACAAATAATGTTAGAACCACAACTAATTTAACATTCCAGGAATTCTTCTAATTTCATACGCTTTTGGCAGAAAATTGTTAAAATAAAAAAAAAAATAATAAAAACTAAAACTACGAAAAAATTACAATGACTAATGAACCAATTAAAATTTTCTATTATTAAATTTAAACGAAATGAAACGTATGGTAAAGATAATTATTCACAAAATGTGTAAATTATAAAATTAAAGTTAATTAAACTTAGAATAAACCGAAAAAGGAATGTTTAAATTAACGAACATGTCGAAACGCAAAGAAGAGAAAGGAAGAAGAATTAACTTGAAGCACATTAGCCAGCTGCGGTATACTTACCGTGCTAACTTTACGAACTTTGGTAGCGGGTGCTGAAGTAGGTGCTGGTTGTCTTTGTATAACGCTCACCGACTCCGACTCCACTTCGACACTGCGTATCGACATTTTCTCCTTATTGTTGTCATCATTGCCCTTCTCACCGCCTACAAAGAGTTCATAACTAATACACGAATAGGTTGGACTCTTTGCTAGTTCTGGATGTAAGGCCGCTTCGGCTGCTTCCGCTGCATCGGCCGCTGCTTGTGCCGCCGCATTAGCACGTTCCTCTAACTTGGCAGCTTTCGCCGCCGCCGCTTCTTCTGCTTCCTATAAGAATATATTAATTTTGGGGGGATTTAAGACTACGGTGCACTTGGAAGGAAATTGAAAATAGAGTGCAATAAACTAAGAAGTGAAGCAAAAATTATAATTGTAATGACCTTATTTAGATCAAATTAATATAAATTATACTCAAGTGAGAGTATAAACTAAAAATAGATACAGAATTTAGAATAGTATAGAAACATAAAAACCGGAGTAAAGAAGGTTGATACTGTTTAAGTAGTCATTTCATATTTAATAATTTATATTTGGTATTTTATATTTTATATTTTTGACATTTATTACAACATTTACAACATTTAGATAGACACACAGTATAGTACACTTTCTTTAGTAATATCGTTTTTAATGAAGCTAAAATGTAAAAGCGAACAAATTTAGTAAATAAATATTTTCAATTAAATTTTCAATTTAATGCAAAATTAAAATTGAAAATATTTATTTGCATGCATGGTACTTACGCGAATTGCTTCCTCTTCGGCAGCCTCTTCTTCTTCGGCCTTCTTTTGCAATTCGTCATAAGACATGGCAACAATGGCCAAAATCAAATTCACAAGATAGAATGAACCTAGGAAGATGATGACTATAAAGAACAGCATATGCCATGGGCCAGCCGCTCTTAGGACTAATTGATATAAGTCCTCCCAGAAATCCTGAGTCATTAGACGAAAAGCCGAGAGGAAAGCCCAGCCGAACGAGTCGAAACTCGTATACCCGTAATTAGGATTTGGTCCAAAACCTTGTAGGCAGACATAATCGTCATCACATTGTCTGTAAAAAGTTGTGATTATGTGGAAGAAAGAAAGTAATTCAAATTTTTTAATATATTAAGCATTTTTCTAATTTAATGTAATTTATAGTTTTACCACTGAAATAAATTTATTTTCAGCATTTGCATTTACTTACCCTGCACCAGAGATATTACCACACAGAGGAAATGAAATACCATCATCCTCCGAATACCAATTACTGCTATTTTTGTTGTGGTAGTCCCAATTTTCATCTGTTAAATTTCCCCACGACCCATCGAGTGGAAATTTTTTAATGCACTTTTGTGTCAGAACACCCATGTAGATTTGCAGTCCCATTAGAGCGAACACAGAAAGCGAGAACATTGTTAAAATTATCACATCGCGCAGATTTTTTACGGATTCAATGACAGCACCGACAATGGTTTTTAAGCCTAAAATTATTTACAAAATCATTTTGTGGTTATTGAAATAGTGTTAGATATGTAATATTATTCAATTTATATTGATCTAGTAGTATGTTTACAGATCTTACTTCATGTGTTTAGCATCATAATTACCTGGCACAATGGCTACGGTTTTTAGAGCTCGCAGTACCCTAAATGTTCTCAAGGCAGCGAGATTACCTAAATCTATACCCATGGTCACATAACTACAGTCGCGAACATGTTAGAAAAGTATGAGAAAGGGTTCCATTATTAATAAAAACATTTATGAACAAAAGTTTTGAAGATGATATTGTGAAACTATGTTCACATATTTGGTATTATAATACAATATATAGTGTTAGATGTTTATGTACAAGTCTTGTTACATTATTATTGTTTGTTTGGTAAAATAAATTATACAATTTTTTTTAAATATAAATTAAAATGTTCTGATTTTAGGTGGCGGTTCAATAGTTAACATTATGAAAAACAAAAAAAAAGAGTATTGTTGATCATAATTGTTAGATTCCATCGGAATAAGATACTTTATGATAAAGTATCTGAGAAACTGAAGCATTAACTAATAATATGAAGTAAAATAGTTTTTGTATTAAAATACATATATATAAATAGTATCTGATCTTCTTTTGTTGTAATCTGGAGCCTGTATATGTCTAGGCTATATACATATGTCTATGTCTATATATATACACAATTATTATTATGAAACGCCAGATGGTAATACAATTTGAATAGAACTATTGTGCTAATTTTGATCCTTAACCATATTTATTTAGACATTTTATAAATTCTATCAGAGTTGGGTTTTTAAATTCTTTAATTTGTATGGAGCCATACTAGTATCTCCATAATAGAGTTAGTGTTTATTAGCCAACTCATCCTACGCCTTATTTAACAATCGAACATACAAGTCAAATATGGCTTTGTGTCAGTTGGATAATTAACACTGTCTCTAAATGTCAAATTTGGAAGGGTTCGGGTTTATCCCTTGGTTTTAAAAAATTATTTATTTATTTTTAAAATTATAAATTTTTTAAATAATTTTATAAATTTAAAAATAATTTAAAAATAGATAGAAATATTGTTGGTTTGATTCATTAGTGATTGAAACCTCTTTATTTTATTATTTTGTTATATATATTAGAAAAAACCGAAATTTTTTAAAAAGTTTTGATTAACAGGGAGAGAAATTAGCATTATTAAAGGATGTTGTAACGAATGGAGGTAACTGAAAGTAAAAGAAAGAATGTAAGACATGGGCCTAATATAAAGTCATTAGAAAAGAAATTTTTCGAAAAATAAAGCCATCCAAAATAAACAAAGAGTCTGCAACTACTTTTTCTTTGTAGCGTATAGTGCTCTATTCACATTCGAGCAATTCAAATTTTTCAGATAGTTTGAATATTGAAATATTCACTAATACTTCTATTAATTCGAATTATTCGAAAAGTTCGAGTTATTCTGTGATAGTTCGAATATCCATAAGATATTCCAATATTCCCTCAGAAAGTTTGAATATCAAATTAGTCGAACGAAGTGTACAGGTAAGGAATACAAAACTATGTAATTTAATTAAAAAAATATATAGTCCTATATTTAATATGAATATTCTAATCAGTTGGAATTATTCGAATAGTTCGAATTATTATATGGTAGTATCCTATGGTAAATAATATATAATCATATATTAAATATGAATATTTTAATCACTTCGAATTATTCGAAAAGTTCGAGTTATTCTGTGATAGTTCGAATATCCATAAGATATTCGAATATTCCCTCAGAAAGTGTAAATATCAAATTAGTCGAACGGAGTGTACAGCACTGGTAAGAAATACAAAACTATGTAATTTAATTAAATAAATATTTAGTCATATATTTAATATGAATATTAAATTCAGTTCGAATTATTCAAATAGTTCAAATTATTCTATGGTAATATTCTACGGTAAATAATAAATAATCATATATTAAATATGAATATTTTAATCAGTTTGAATTATTCGAATAGTTCGAATTATTCTGCAATAATTCGAAATCCATCGAATATTCGAATATTTCCTGAGGAGGTGTGAATATCAAATTAGACGAATAAAGTGAACAGTCCTAGTAAGGAATACAAAATATGTAATTGAATTAAGAAAAGTAGAATAAAACTTTGTCTTGCAGTTATCACCTTTCAAAAGTAGTTTCAACGGAAGTGCATTGAAATAATGAACCTTTAAGTAACCTTTGCATATTATTTTATTAATTATTATTCTATAAATAAGAATTGTGACACGTTTGTACGCTAATGATTATTCCATTAACATCAGTTCAGTTATTCTTACAGGTTTCCTAGCGTATTTCTTTGAAATACAATTAGTTGATTTTATTTCTTAAAATAAAAAGTAATTTAGTGTACAATTTTTATTAATGACATAGTTAAATTCAACCAACAAAAATGCCACAGGAAAGGACAATTAGATTCAATAAATCGTACGGGTGTGGTAAGTGTCCTGGTGTTGTTTGTTGTGCCATAGGTTTCCTTATAGACAGACGTACACTTGTTGGAAACAACGCAAATTTAGTAAAAAGTAAAAGTTCAAATGAAACTAAAATATCCAATATCGATTTATCTCGAGTCAATTATAGACACACATGTTCGCGTGCTTAGCTGTATTTATACTTGGTAATAATAAAACAATTTCTCAGGGAGTCCAGAAAAATAATTGGAACCACCACCGTTTTTCAAAAATGCCAATTAGCATGGAAAGTAATAAAATATGTCGAAAATATGTATTCAGAGTTGAAAAAAATTATTAATTATCACTAAAGTAAACAAATGAATGAGTTTGTTTTAGTAATTGCTTTTTGCTTATCTCATATGCAAATTACAATTTATACATTAAATAAAAAAAAATATAAATATAAATAAATAATATTAAATTTATATATTAAATTTTTTATAATACAGTTTTATAAAATATTATATTGCAACATTAAGAAAAAAATATAAATATTATTTAAGAAAAAGAAAATATTTTAAATGACACTACGATATTTATTAAAAAAATACACCAAACTAAATATTTTTATTTATGTTTTTATTTAATATATATTTGTTGCAGCTATTTATTTATTGATTATGTAGTTTTGTTTATTTTTATGATTAATATGTTAACTAATTGAGATAAATATTTGAAATAGTGAGTTTTATTATATACTATTATAATATGATGAAAAACTTATGTGATCTACTGATTTACACATAGGATATTAACAAGTAATGAGGATAGTAATTAATATGAGAAATAAAAATGTTTAAGAAACAACAACTGAAGAGAAAACAAAAATTATGTTATTTAATAAACTCACGCTAAAGCTATTACTACGAAGTCCAGCCAATTCCATGCATCTCTAAGATACGTAAACGGGCATAAAATGAAACCTCGTGCCATCACTTTAACAGCTGATTCAAATGTGTAGATTCCGGTGAATATCACCCTAAAAACGAATTTTGTTTTGTTCGTAATTGTTGTTGTAGGTCTGATACTAAACATTTATTTATGAATGAATACTTAATATAATTTGATCATAAACAAAATGAATGTACACCAGTAAGGTGCATAAAAAAAAATTTTAAATTTGAAAATAAATGGATTCATCATAACAGAGACGGACATTTTCAGTAAAATACTTGACTTAGTATAATCTACAAATAGATTTTTATAAAATTAATATATATTAATATATTTAATTAATATATTTTAAATTAGGTTTTAATATTGACATGTATTAAATACAACACAAATATAACTTAGACCCGACTTCATATCATGTTAATTCACACGATTTAATAGACGCATATAACATATTTTAACTTTAAAATCCAAACATGATATTTTCACATCTATAAATACCAGTATTATTTTAGAATGATCAGCCATAAACACATTTCAGGTTTTTATAAAAAGGAATTACTTTACCACGGTTTTTAACGGATACCCACACATCATAACTAAAAGGTCGATTTACGATTGATTGATATATATGTGTAAACAACGATTGTTTTTTAAACATTAGAAGTTTAAATCAAAAATTAATAACATGAAGATGGTAACCATAAATAAACCTTTCTGTTTCAAGTTCCGTTAAGGCTTATTTTGTTTATATAAATACTTATAACACACACTACGTAATAATCGAAGCTATTAATTATAAAAGCTAAGAAATAGGCACATAAGCAGGATTACATCGATTAAAAATATGGAAAAATCCATTGCCAGCAATATCAATTACCTTCAACGTACCATATTGCTAAAATCGTGGAAGCGACTCAAGATTTGAAACCACAAAATTTCTACCTTGAGACTACTCTAAAATCGTACTATTTAAAACATTTCTTAAAACGTAGGTATATGCAGACAATCTCAAGTACATCGTGGAATATATGAACTATACATGTTGTACATGACCCTGAAAAGACTGTTTAATTGTACAAGCATTCAAAGAAGGTGCCCTATGCAAATGAAATATAGATAGAACTATTAAACTGTTTTACTTTGAACTTATATTCGAAACTATATACCGCAAATCTATTTATATAGATAGAAGTACCGATACAATAGAAAGCTGATATGATTAAAAAGGCAATCGATTTAAACAATAACTGATATACAGAAGCACAAAGTGCATACTTTTAGAATATATCGAAACTTTGACAGCATGGAATATAATGCCTCGTACTTTTCTTCATAATACTATATGCCATTACGTCAGAAACCAATGGAGAGTTACGAGCATGAATTCAATGAAGGCTGTTCTAGCCTTCGGTTGATTTTGGCGTAATCAAACATTATTTGCTTTATAACATCAAACATAGAAGACGTGGAATTCAAGCTACACGCAAAAATTGTTAGTCTAGATGTAAACACGAAGAAGACGGAAATGATCTGCTCGAAAATGTCTAATACAATATATCTAGTTAAACAAAATTATGGAAAAAACCTATTTATGGAAGATGAAGAAGAATAATGGCAACTGTAAATCATAGTAACTGAATTGTTCTTAGTGGAAGAAGATATGAAAGTCAGAATTAACAATTCATTTCACACGTTTCATAAATTAAACAAGATTTAGATCGTACATATGGATGGATCAACATATGGGTTAAAGTCTCCATAATAACCAAAATAGGCGATATGAAAGTAGATAACTCAGATTTAACAAGATATTTAACACTTTATATACAAGATAGAAATGAATATATATATCAAAACTATTATCACTATAATAATGAAAATAACAAGTGTGAAAATAGATGTAGAGACCAAGGTTAAAAAGGGATACGTATATCACGCATTTTATCAATTGGATACTAACCGGATCGTACTAACTTCTTCTGAGCAAAGCTTCGTATGTTGAAACGGAATTTTTAATTAGGGCAACTTTTTTGATGTGGCACGTAGAAAGTTATCAGAAAGAAAGATTTTAGAAAGATTTTAAAATTGCATTCGTAACATAAAAGTGATAAATTTATGTGAATATATGAAAGCAATTAATTGACTTAAATATTGGAAACACGAATGGATGAAACGTGGGAAATACAGACACCAATATAAAGCAGTAGTCCTACTGTATAACCCATATATAATAAGAGCATGAGGTAATCTTAGAAGAACTTGGTTTTCAACAATCATAAAAGAATGCAATTGATCATAATAATATATATAGTATATATAAAATGAATTAAATAGAACTTAAGTCGTGCTCTGAATAAAAACGACATTAGTTCTAAATGAATTATTAGATGAACAATTATACCAACGTATTAATCTCTCAGGGGAATAGAAATATGATAATATCGATGTCAATACATAATTTTGAAAGTAATTATTTTAGAAATTTTAATCCGTCTCTGTTATTTATATTTTGAATGTAATTAACCACAAATTACTCTTAAAAAGCAGTTAAAAATTTAAACAATACAAACTCTTCCATAATGTGATAAATAATTTTGTGTGTATCAGAACCACACAATTTATATAAATATATATACAATTTATATAATAAAGTTGCTTTACTTTTATTTTTAAATATTTTTACTGAATATATCATTTATGTTCTTATCATTTTATATTTTATGTAAATATTAAAATTTAAGCAGTAATTTTTAATTCATTTTACATTGAATTACATATACTATAGTAATAAGTATAGTAAATTCATGTATAATATAATATTATTGTATAAAATAAAAATTTGGAAAATACTTAGAGTGGCTATATAACTTTAATTCTTATATATAAAAATATAATTTTACTAAATTCAGCAAGTTAAAAATGTTTTATTTTTATATATTATAAAAGTCGTAACATCTAAATGTTTTATATAAAACCAAAATTGTTTGTGGCGTACGTAATACAATAGAAAAATCTATGTCACTTTAATTTTTTATGTTCTAGCATTTATATATATATTAGTTATAAGATATTTAGATATCGTTTAATATGCTACATTGTGGAAGAGTAAAGTGTATATGATAATTTCTTAATGATGACACATTTCGAAACATTACTTTACATAAATAAGCAACTTCATAAGTTAATACGATATTAAAGGGTTAATACTTGTTCAGCTGATTAAATAATTATCAATATTTAACAATATTTGAAACTTACAATACATAAATACACAAATATTAATAAAATCTACTTAACAACTCAATATTTGTATAAAGTTTTCACGATAATGAGTATGATAAACTCTGCTGAGATTTTTGTGCTTCGATTCACTAAGTTTTTTTTTTTTATTAGAAAATATTCATTAAAAGTTTTTATAGTTAGAAAAATTATATTGCTTTTAGTGCAGCTTGAATAAAAAAAATATTAAAATATTTAATAAAATGTCTCCATTAAATATTAAATTATTTGAAGATTAACATATTCAATTTGATTGATTGTAATCACGTTTGCAAAGCAAATATAATATGTATTTATATATAATATATATAATATATTATATTACAATAAAATATATATACATATATAATATTATTGCAATCGCTTTAATTTTTGACCTAAAATATTTTTTTTTAAATTTTTTGATTTTATAAATGTGTTTTTATTTATATAAAGGGATATAAATATAGTATTGTTGCAATTACTTCAATTTTAGGCCGACGACATATTTTTTAAATATTCTTTTTGTTTCAAAAGTTCAATTTTATTTATATGTAAGAATATATATATATAGTATTATTGCAATCACTTTAATTTTAGGTCAAAGGTATATTTATTAAATATTTTTTTTGTTTCAAGAATTTAATTTTATTTATATGTGAATATTTTGTTTTATTTATTTTTGTTCTATAAGTATTGCATTTTCTTATTATAATATGAAATATTTTCAATATCACTTATATTTGATATTAAATATTTGACACGCAATCATTTAAATCTATTCAATTTGCATGAGAAACTTGACTGGAGAATTGCTCATGTATGGAATTAAATACCAGAAACTTGCAAATAGTTCTGTAGCCTTTTATGGAAAATAATAGAAAATTCTGCCTTCAATGAAATCATGTAGTGAATTCTGCTCACGTTTGTTTGTCAATGTCAATTTGTTAGCTTCTATGATGGAATATGTTCTGTATTATGCTAGTTTTGTACATACACTACGAACAGATGTCCTTCAATTATGATTCTTTGTATTGTTCATACTTTCACAGACATTTTGTAGAATACTAACAGCCGTAGCCGGAAATTGTGCTCTAAGACATACACAAACGGTGACAGTTGCATTTTCAGTTTTAAGCACAAAGTAGATTTAACCTACATTTCAAATGTAAGATGTTTTTAGGCCCACATAAACACGTACAAAGGCATTAGTTACCAGAAAACAGCTATTAACTTCAATGACAATTGTAGGTATGTCATTCCTTTATCTACCTTTGTAGGCATATTTCAAATATTGCCATATATTGTACACTTTAATCTGAGACAATTTATTTTTTTTTGCCTTATGCTTTGTAAGATTTTTCTTCTTATTTTTCTTTAAAATATTTTCCCATACACTTCCGAGCATCATAGTCAGCATAACTCGACATAGCATAGCATAGATAGTGTTTGTTGGTCTGTATTTGTGGGCTAAGGTGGGTGCCTGACCTAGGCCTCAATCTCCTGAAGGGCACTTGAATTTCTATTATAAAATGCCGCGCACTAATTGCGGCCATTTTGGCTTCTCTAGTCACAAAAATTGCTGGCACACATTATTTATGTGGGACTATTTGCACTTGTATCTGCTCTGCTCGTCTTTCAATGGGTGTGGAGGTGAACTGTTATTGTTGTTTGTGTTACAAGTTCACCGAGGCGTGTAGGCGATTTCAAGTTCAAGATGTTACAAGTGTGTTTGCTGATGAATGAAAAAAAAAACACTTGCAATTTTGCTTTAGTAATTTTATTGTAGCCATTTTGCTGCTTTTTTCACAGGATATTGGTTTT